TAGCAGTATTTAAAGTTATTGTTTCAATATTGTACAAGGCAGAGCCAAATTCAGCAGTTATAGTTCCATTTTGTACAACGTATTTACTCTTCCTAGAGTTAATGATTGCCTGGTTTTTATGTTTGCTTTTGGCATGAGTGGTCTCCAGTGTACCCATCCTTAGTTTTTTGTTTTTTGTTTTTTTTTCCATGAGATCAATTGTATGTTTACCTTTCCAATGTAACAGACTGCCAGGAAACCTTCTCTCCCAGAGTTTCTGTCTTCCATTCCCCCTCCTGTGATCTGAGCTGGCTTCTCTCTAGATACGCTGCACAGCTGTCATCTCCTGACTTTGCTTCACCACTTTTGCCCTGTGTTAGGTTTTCTTTCCTAAATGCTTCTCTGTTTTTTTTTAAACTCCTTTATTTTTCTCATCTCCAACAGCTTGTTAATAAAGGTGGGGGAGGAATAAATAATTGAGTCCTTCTTTTCCAACCATCCTTAATCTCCAGAATTTTAAAAAAAAATCTCTGGGGACATTGGGCACACAAAATTGCAATTATGACTTCACAACAGTAAGTTTTCATAAGGCTGAAAAAGAGTAGGGGTAGTTTCATGAGGTAATTTCAGGGGGCTCTAATGAGTGCAGATTTTTAAAGAATATGTATAAAATGGGGAAACAATGGAAGTGACCAACTGGCTAGGAAATAATGATTAGATCTACATGTTTCTTGTGATAAGTGTGAAGGACAGCTAAAAGTGCTTACTTAATTTCTGTAAGATTCAAGATACAAGTACTGTATCTAATGGCATAATTTTTATGTGAAAATATATAATGGTGTAATTATAAGAAAATATAACATGGCACAGCAAAGGAAACCATAAACAAAATGAAAAGACAGCTTATGGAATGGGAGAAAATATTTGCAAATGATGTGACTGACAAAGGCTTAATTTCTAGAACATACAAACAGCTCATACAACTCAGTGACAAAAAAACAAACAACCCAGCCCCAAACTGGGCAGAAGACCTAAACAAGCAATTCTCCAATGAAGACATACAGATTGTCAATAGGCACATGAAAAAATGCTCAGTATCACTAATTATCAGAGAAATGCAAATCAAAACTACGATGAGGTATCACCTCACACCAGTCAGAATGGCCATCATTCAAAAATTCACAAACAATAAATGCTGGATAGGTGGTAGAGAAATGGGAACCCTCCTCCACTGTTGATGGGAATGTAATTTGGCACAACTATTATGGAAAACAGTATGGAGATGCCTTAAAAAACTAAAAACAGACTTACCATATGATCCAGCAGTCCTACTCCTGGGCATACATCTGGAGAAAA